GATAGATAGTCAGAGGCAGTTAGTAGAGGAGTAACAGAGTAGGGAATAAGTGAAAACTCTTATCTCCTCTGGTGCTTTGCATGGGACACAGTTCCTGAGGGAGCAGTGCTCAGGGTACAGCAGCTCTCAGCCTGCTCCTGCTGCAGGTATTGCACTTAGGAAAAGGCCATCTTTCTTGTTTTGTCCTCTTCTGGTGGTGTTATATTTTTTCAGAACCTCTGTGGAGATCTTCCCTTTCACTTCTTGCTTTCATGATGATTATTAACCTAAAGTGAAACCTACCTGGAACCAGAGACACTAAGAGCACAGTTAAGTTTTGGTTCAGCAAAAACAGGTCTCACCATTGCTGTTGTTGTGCTTCTACTGGGCTCTTCTCTGAAGAGCTAAGAAGCCCCACCTAATTTTCACTAGGTCATCCATCCATTCACTTACTGTACTTGCCAGGTTTCTGCAAACCCACTTCTCAAAAGGAAGAGCTGCACTGCGACTTTAGAGGAAGAAAACACTATCTTATATTTTAGCTGTTGAAACTTTGTAGATCATTTTCTAAGTCACTCTGGAACAGTTTGTGAAGTGGCGTAGGGCCAGAGGGCCTCCATGTCTATATGATTGAATTTATCAGATACCTCCCTTGGATCCATCCTATGGGGACTAATTTTTCTTACATTGAGTTTCCACTCTTGTTAAATTCTTGTCCAAAGATGAAAGTTCTTGTTTCTTATCTTTCTATGTCAGATCTTTGAAAAGATCTTTCCCTACCCATTCTTCTCCTTGAGTCCTTCAGCAATGTCTGTGCTGCAGACATTCCTTGTTTTTGTTTCTGGATTATTATTTCCAGCCATTGTCCTTGTTGCTACCCTACCTTTTAGAGTCTGAGCTTTCAGGGTCCTATGTAAGAGCCGCCCCTGCCAAGGCTGTGCTAGCTCTTGTGAGTGAGTCTGGCATTTCCCATATGGTTTCTGTGTTATTCTCTCATTGCACATATATCAGTATACTTCCCTTAGATAGATGCTAAGCTCCTTGAGTAAAGGATAAGAGTCTGATTCATTTGGAGCTCCAGTGATAGGAATGTAAACTCATTTATTTATTAAATTAATAGATGCGTTTATTTAATGCCTATCACTACATAGGCCCCAGGATTATAAAGTGACAAGTACTTTTGCTCTCTAGGATTTCAGATTGTACTCTGGGGAATGAGTATATTGCCAGATACATGTGACAAGAGGGTGCCAGGTGCAGTTAATGTGTAGGACAGAACACACCATCCTAAAGGATGGAGTACATGGTATAGGTGTTTAAGGACTAGTTGGAAGTAATTCTCGGGATCTAAATGATGCATAGTAAACAAGAAATCATTTTTAATTGAGTTTGGATAAAAGAAGTAGAGATAAAACCTAGAGAAATTGCATGACTTCCCTACCATAAGTAAGTGCTAAAAAATCACCTTAGCAGGAATAAAAAACTGCTGCCATTATTTTAGAAGTTATATGGTATCTATTATTAAAAAGATTATCAGTTCAAAGTGACTTTGTATTGAAATCTGCTAAACCTTTAAAGATCAGATAATTCTAAGGTAATTATTAAACTAATATGAAAAATAGAATGCAGAACCATCAAACTAAAACCCAATAGTAAAAAGTAAAATAACCACAGATAAAAACAGTACAGAATGATCTTATTCATGATTGTATGTACAAAAATTCTGAAAAAAACCTCATAATTAATTCATTAGTATATCAACAGAATACAACTGTGATTTATTGTAGGACTGCAAAGATGGTTCAATATCTGGAAACCTGTCAACATGATTCATGACATCAACGAATTAAAGAGAGGTGAAAAAAATTATTATATTGGTAGAAACTAAGAGTGGAGATAGAGATTCTGGACAGGCATGAGTAAAAGACAATGATGAGAGAGGGAAGAATGAGAGAGAGTTAGTTTAATTGATGCATTTATTTATTCATCCATCTTGAATAAGAAATTTTTCTAAGAATCTTGGCCAGGCATTATATTGATGCTGTGAGACTATTCCAGAGGTTCCAGCTTATTGGGGCAAATATACAGGTGAATAAATCACTTCCTTGCAGACTAAATGTATGGAAAAAAATACTGAGACACCCTAGAAGAAAAATTAAACTACTCACTTTAAGGGGTATTGTGGAAGCAGTTGTAGAACTGGTGACATTGGACTGGGGTAGTATAGATATAGAACACATGGTTGAAAGTGAAGAGAAGAAAACATCATGCCAACAGTGGGGAGAGCATGAACAGGAGTTCAGATTCATGAGAGTTCATTATAAACCCTGGGAATGTTGTGCCTGGGTTACTGTTGATGTGTGGAAGAATGACAAGAAAACAAGCTTGGAAAGGTCACCTGTAAATTGATGTGGCCCTTGCAGGAGTCATAGCTATGTTTCCATGAAAGGGAGACCTCATGGTGTGTTATTGTGCTGAGGAAAACTGAAGTCAGTTTTGGAGTCAGTGGTTTAACGTTGATGATTACATTTTAATTTTTTGAATACTTTCACAGAAGTTGTCTCTTTGTATCTGTGCAAAAGCCAACATTCCATGGTCATTAACTTGGAACTGCTCTGCAAGTATACATCCTTCTTTTCAAAATCACTGCATTTTGCACTAATTCATTTTTAAAGATTTCTATTTTAGAATAACCTTGGATTTACAGAAAAGTTGCAAGGATAGTCTAACCTATTTAAAACATGTACAGTGTATATGCCTACCACAAATACATAGAGAACACTAAAACTTCAAAACCTTTTTAAATGCCATTTATTTCCCATTTGTATTCATATTAGTCATGTTAAAAGAAAATTATGGCCATTTTGTAGAAGACTTAGATTCAATTAAAAACAAAAACAAAATTGATAAATCTCAACCTTGAGAGATGGGTTTAGTTTTGGTTGTTAAATTTTTTTTTCTCAATGATTCCAAATGTACAACTGGATTTAATAACTACGAGTAAAAGAGACATGTACTGATTGTTTTTCTACATGGTTTCCTTATGCAAAATGTCTTTTTCTAGGTGTCTCAATTTTGCAAGTAAATATATACCTATACATATAAAAGTGAAAGAAAAATAAAAGAAAGCCCACACAATCAGAGAGAAAAATTATTGTCATCACTTGCTTCTATGACTTGTGTCCTGATTTCCGTCTTACTCTCATATATCAAAGAATCTACAGCTCCTTTTTCTTTTTCCTCCTTGTAAGATAGTCATACAGTTCTCATTGATTTCATAAGGGAGTGGAGGCATTCCTTTCCACAGTTTACATAGTACTTTGCTGTATACGAAACACTTTACTATATTTTCAGTGGTTGTAATAAAAGCCCTGGGAGTTGAGGAGGACAAGCTTTTCTAAATAGCAGTTTTTAGGGGCTGTGGGCCTGAGGCACTGGAGTGTTCAAGGTCATAGCGTAGACCAGTGTTAACTCAAAGGTGACACTGTCCCAGCCCTCCTCATTTCCCTGCCTCTCTCTGTTGCTATGCCATGTGCTGAGGCCTTAATTTCCCCCACATTTCCTGTGTTCTTTGTCTTTACAGACATCTGGAGATAATCATGTATCCCTCTTAATTAATTCAGTTCAATTAATAAATTACTAGTTGGATGTGGGTTTGGGATGGAGCAGGGCACCTTCCGGGCCTCCCTGTGCTGGAGTGCTCTTGCAATCAGGCTTGGAGAGCTGTCCTCAGCAGCAGTCTGGGAGGCTCATCCCCACGGGAAGGCTGCCTGCAGGAGTGATTGGCTTGTCTTAGAAGGAGACAGCATTTTCCTTTCTTCACATGATGTGCACACTTTGATCAGAGCAGCATCCAGGTTGGCCTTGTTATTCCCCATGCAGCTAAAAGAAAAAAGATCCTATATGCTATCAGCTCAGTAGAGCTCTTGATGGCATTTGTTTTTTTCTTTTGCGGTGAGGGGCTGACCTACCTGTGTGTGCTTTATAGGTGTTGTGACAATCAGTGCTCCCTCCTCCCTATTTTCGGGTGCCTCTTGGTAGAGAGCAGAGCTGCTCTGAGTGCTTATTTTGTTTTATTATTTTATTCTTACTAGTACATGTTTGTAGTACATGATGATTATATTCATCATAGGAAGTTGATACAGGTACAGAATACATCTTCTCCCACTCATCCTCCTCCTCATTCTACCACCCGCCCCCTTCTGTTTCCCTTTCTCAAAAAATCATCTTAAAGTGTCCTTTTTAGTGTGTCCCTTCCTGTCTTCTGAATGCACATTTAAATTTCTCAAGTACACATGCAAAGTTGTCTCACTTTGGTTCCACATATTTTACTTCTTTGGCTAGCTACTTTGTTTTATTCTGCCTGAAGCTACAATAAACAGAAGCACATTTTTCTGCTTCTGTGACTTTACTAACATTGTTCAAGTGCACTTTTTATTCAGCAGTCCAGACCTAGTCTGAGAAACACTCATCAGTGAAATCCTTTTGGTCCTGCTGCCGGAACAAAGTTATTTTATCTTTTCCTTCATTCCAGAAATGCTTGTTTCAAATCTCACTTAGGTATCTTATTAACTCATATAGGTGTCACCATTTAACTGATGTGGTGATTATTTTTTAGATTATTGATAAAATTGAATCTTTTCCCCCAACTTCCTACCCAGAAACGTTTTCAAGTTAGGAACTGTTTCTTACTCCTATCTCCTTCTCCAGGAGGGCCTAGAGCTAAATTGGTAATTATTGGAGTGAGGTATTCAGATATGCAGGCCTGCTTTCCTCCTCCGTTTCTTTCTCGCCCTTCTCCACTCTGTTCATCTTTTACTTCCTTCTCCTCCTTGTTCTGATTATCTCCCTTCCTCTCCTCCTTTCCTTCTACATTGTTTTATTCTTCTAATTTCTTCCTTCGTTCTTTTTTGCAGATAATGTAGTGAATCTTTATAAAGATGCATTAAGTATGGGTTAAAATGAAATAACATAAAGTGAGAGCTTCTATAAAAACAGCATTTATTACTTTTTAATTACAGCTTTCAACAATGTCTTATCCAACTTGGCTGCCACCCAAAAGCACTGGTGAGCCCCTTGGCCATGTTCCTGCGCGGATGGAGACCACCCATTCTTTTGGGACTCCCAGTATTTCAGTGTCTACACAACAGCCACCCAAGAAGTTTGCACCGGTAGTTGCTCCAAAGCCCAAGTACAACCCATATAAGCAACCTGGAGCTGAGGGTAAGTGCTGGTATTTCAGGGTTGGACTTCTAGAGCAGAAAAATTCAGAATAGTAGAGGAGATTGGTCAGGACAACTTTGTGTTGGAAAATGGAAGCCTATGAATTTACAGAGCAGCGAAGGCTTATGAACCTCAAGTAATTATTCTGGATCAACCCCTGCTTTTCTTTTTTTTAAATAAAGAGATTAAGATCTCACAGATTCTATGGATGTGGTTATACAGTTATAAATAGGACTAGAGCCTAAGCAGGAAATATGACCTCTTTACTCAGTGCCTTTCTGCCTTATCCTCCTTCCTTTACCATTCTCTTGAGGTAATGTGTCTACCACCCAATGATTCCTCCCTCTTCTTTCTAGATAAGTGTTCCAGAATGCTGTCAAGGAATAGTCCAAGGAGAATCCTGTGTAGAGTCAGCCTAATGAATTCCCTGGAATTTGCTTTAAATTCTCTGGCTACTTTTGCTTCCTTAGGCATTTGTAGCATAAAGTAGCCTGAATATCTCCATGAGATCCATATTTGTTGAAGGTCATAGGTAATTCTAAGCGAGTTAGTTTCAGGGATTTTAATCGCTTATTCAATTTACATCAAGCAAAATTTAAAGGTGCACATGAACTGGGCATTCACACATGTGTGTGGCTGTATATATTATGTACTTCTGTATTTTTCCACATGGGCAGTATAAATGATGCCATACTTTTTGGTTGAAGAGGTTCCATATTTTTCCCAGTCACTGTCAGAAGCTCATTCAAATTCATAAATTCATAACTTAAACCTAACACACAGAAGAATGTTAAATTCTGACAGCTGAAAAATAGGGGTGATGAAGAGATCCAGTCCCTCTTTCTATATTTTCTACCTTTGTCCCACCTTTTAAAAATTTGTTTTACCATTTTCTTGATTTTTGTCATTACTTTTTGAGTGACATTAGCATGTTTGTTTTAGTGGTTCTGTGTGAGATGGGTTTGTTTGCTGTGATATCTTTTAGTCTTACTTTCTTTCTTACTAGTCCTCTCCTGCCCCTAGTAAGCACTTTTGATAGTATGATAGTGTTTTGGGACTTGTGTGAGACACCTGGTCTAGATGTCCAGATGTCTGCCTTGTATAAGGTGACTGTCTCTTTAGGGAGGCTGGTAGGGAGGTTTGTGTGTCAGCACACCTGAATCTCTCGGGTGGTGGATTTTTGGGTGTCCTTTTTCCCAGAAAAGGCAAAAGCAAGACCATTAGAGAGGTGCTATGGAAAAACAGTAAAGGAAGTCCTTAGTGCTGTGCTGATCTCCAAGACAGTGCTAGGAGCTTTATTGCCCTCAAAGTAGACTGCACCTTTTGCAGCTAATGAAGGACTTAGTGAAACTGGTCTTCTTTGGATTCTTTATTCTTTAGAGATTGTGGTGCTCTGGAAGAGGATCCTTCTCACAGGGACAGGATGTACCATATGTTGGCTTCCTTATCATCTCTCCTGGTGTGATTACTAGGACCATTACTGTTTTGTCTCTTAATATTGGGGAGACATCAAATCGACTTCCTTCTACTGGGTGGGGCATAAGATATGCTAAGTTAAAGAGTTAGAGGCCATGATGCAGGGAGTGACCTAGGAGGTAGGACAGTAGATTATGTGTACCGGCGAGTTAAGGTGTAGCAGGCATACACAGAGGGCTATAGTCAGTAGGCTAATCTAGGGCATATATGAGGAATGGAAGAGAGTGTCATACCTTCCTCTAGAAGTCCTCTAGACTTCTTCAATCTGGACTTCATGTCTTCCAATGAGTTGGCCCCTTGGATGGCTCCCCCAGCCTAGACTCTGTGTGCTTCACCAGCATCAGATTATCTAAGCACACTACAGTAAACTCTGATTCTTTGCATGCTCTGCAGCTCATAAATCTTTTACCTTCTTGACATGCTACCTCCTGTGCTTTTGTTACTTGTTGTAATACTGTCTGTATCACTTTCCCTAAAAGATCTGTTTTTGGTGTGGCCTAGATCAAAAGTATTTTCATAAACATTTTATTCTATAGTATCAAATTTCTACTATTGTCATGGCCCCTGCTCTTTTTTGGTCCTTTTTGAACATGTAGTACTGTACATACTGAGCTCTATGCTTTCCCATTATTGGATCATTGTGTCTTCATCACAGTCACCTGTGTGTTTTATTTTTCCATAAAGAAATAGAATCTTAGAGAAGGAGAGTTGACTTTCCCTGTGATTTTATGGCCAGTAAGTTTTCTTCACTGTGGCTGTTGTCTGTGTGCAGCATGCAGCTTTAAGATGCACATTTAAATTATGTCTGTTTCAGTCCAGGAGTTGTTTAACCAGTGCTACCTTGAGATTACCCATTACATTTCTCTCCTTGGTATTATGTCTAATCTCTGGGGCTTGCTTTCTTATTTTTAAATTCTGACTGTGAAAGTTAAGAAAGTACCAACATATTTTCCACATCAACTTATATTTATGTGGTACCCATATGTTATAATTTTCTTTTATAAGATATTCTAATAACTCTTTTCTAAAGGAGTTTTGTGAACTTTAAAGTGGATTGCACTATTTCCCAGTGAGTAGCTCTCTATGTTTTAGGTCATTTTTATTTTATTCCTGTTCTATTTGTTATTACTTTTGTAAAGATTTGTGTTTCTTTATCTGCCTTCAAATGCCCTTACAGATTGTTTGCTTGCAGATTTGATAGTGTTGACTGTTATCTATTTTGTCAAATTCTTTTCATATGTTTTTATAATTTTCCACCACCACCTTTTATACTTATGAGGAAAACAAGATAATGCCATTTTCTTTTAGTCTTTAAATTACTACTCCTTAACACTGTTCGCCCTGAAATCTAGGTCTCCCTCCCTTCAATGTAAAACACCAGCAACAAAAAAGCAAGAACAACTAAATAAGCACACAACCTTAGACTCTGGCACCAAAAGTACATATGATTTTCTTTGTTCCTGGTAGATACCAGAGTACATAAGCTCTCCTATTTTACTAATTTATTTTTTTAGATGATTTTGAATTTATCCTGTCGTTACCCTCTGGGAATTAGAATTTCATTCAGTCTCACTTTCTTTGTCTCTGTCTCTCTGTCTGTCTCTCTCTCTTCTCCCTCCATCTCTTCCCCCTTTCTCTTCCCTCTGTCTTCACTTTTTTCCTGTCTTTTCCCTGTCTCTTAATAATTTGCTGAGTTGAAAGTTGTTAATGTTATTTACACATCATTGCAATGAACACTAATAAAGAGTGATTTGTAAAGTTTGAAAGACTATAAAGTTGGAGTTTTCTTGTGCCTTAGCATTACCTCTCCCCCATCTCTGAAATTCCTTTTGAAAAACATTTTTATGTTACATTTAGCAAAACAAAAACAAAAATACAGACAAACAAACAAAACAAACTGAATCCATAGGGTATCAATTCAAGATGATCTTTTTTTTGTAGAAATTATTTTTATTGGTTCAAACCTTTATCTGTGTTTAGCAGTTACATATCATTGTCTTATTTTTCAGAAGATAATTTTTATTGCTGCTCTCTGGGGTAGACAGAACAGATGTTATTGGCCTTTTATGGAGTGGTGGACTACCCTAGTGAAAGAGGCTATTGAAGTACAGTGCAGCAATATGGATGTTCATGTCTGAAACTCTCAGTGATTTGAAAGGATTATAGTTTTTGGAGGTTCGGCCATTCAACTTCATCATTTGTATAACTCCATTATTTTATTATTTTGTGATTTTTTTGAAATTAATTTTAAAATTATGACTATTTTCACAAACTATTCCTAAATATATTACCTTGTATATTTCTAAAAAAAATAGAGATAAGGCTTCTCTTTTCCAGTTTTGCTACAGTTCCTGGTAAGGGTGGTCCGGGAGAAGTGGCATGAATTTTATGGGAATCGTAGGATGGAATTGATTTGACAGGATCATTCAGTATTTTCTCGTACCCTGGGGTTATTAATCCATTCCATGGGGTGGAATTAGTGATAGATCAATGCTAATATGGGATTGCCATAGTAACTATAACAAAATGCCAGAACAGCATAAGAACTGGGTCTCCCCTGATGGAGGTGACAGCCAAGCTAAGCTTATTTCTTTCCTGTTTTTTCCCATGCCAGTACCGTTTTTGATACACTCATACTAAATACTTAGAGTAGTATAACTAGAAAAGCATTTGACATGTAGTTCTTTCCTTTGTCAGGCGCGAAAACATTTGAAGATGCAGGGAAAGCTTTCCCTCACTGAACTCCCTGCAGCACCCAAGGTTCCTGGATGTGTTCAATCCGCTATGCAACCATTGTCTATAGAAAAGGCACGATTGTGCTAGCTTCCTTGGGATTGATGAGTCCTGAGTGAGTGTTACTTGGTGGGTAATTAGCATTAGTGCTGTGGAGTTGTGTATTTTGGTTAGGCAGAGTATATCTGTAGCCGATTTGGTGCTGCTTCTGTCCATCTGTTATGGAAACTTTTTTCTTGGGGTTGAAGATAATGATACCTAAATATTTACACTCACAGTGTGCTCTCTTATCTCTGGAATTCCTGAAGTATTTGTTCACATGCAGGTGGACTCTCATATGTGGATTCAGAAGTGTAAATGGGAAGCATCCATTTGTAGCCCTGAAAGGTTTGTTAAATTGACAGCAATCACCAATGAGTATAGGCAGCGTTTCAGATGGTTGTTATAATTATGCATCATGTGCCATGAAGATGGTCACAAATTCACTGAAATGTCAGGAACTCTCACGAGACTCAGGTTTGACTGGCATGCCTCTTCTCTGGGTCAGCTTCATCTGTTGATGTAGAGTGCAGTATGAGTTTTAATTATCAGGTCCTCAGGGGAAAAATAGGGCAAGCTGTTCATTCATTAAAAGATCAAATATTAACTCTAATAATTTGATCTTTACATTGTATCTTCTTGCATAAAAATAACTCATACTTCTTGGGACCAAATCATATCTTACCGATAGTTAGGCTTTACCAGCACTCAAAAGCTGCGAAGTACCATTCTGGCTCGGTGGTTCATGAACT